CCTGGGTAACGCTAAGCACGGGAAAATGCGTGTCAAGCGGTATGAAGCTGGTTGACCATCAAACAGAGTCAGATAACGGATAGAAACAACAAAGATACACACGCGCGCGCACGCACAGAGAGAGAGGGGGGGAGAGAAGGAGAGAGGTAGGGAAAGAGCGAGAGAGAGGGGGGAGAGAGAGAGAGAGGACAGTTTGAAGTCACAAAATACGCACACTGTATGGGGGTCGAAGCCTTTTACTAAAATTATAAACTTTGGAACACTGTAACTCAGTGAAAAATGATCCAATTTCAAAAAATAAAAAACCGTTGTATTCATCTCCATACGCGTATTTTCGTTATCCAACCAACCAGAAGCGACCGCGGTCATTTTCGTTTGTGGTCGTGACGTCACCGATGCTAACGCGTTAGCTTGGTAGGACCCAAACATTCAACTAAACCCGGGAGGTCGTTTGCGTGTTTGCGGTAGCGTGTTTGGGCGGGTTTAGAATTCGGCAAATAAAATGATGGATAACATAACCCTAAACCTCGATCAGCATATGTTGTGCCAGGACGATGCTGGCAATATCCAGATTTCAGAAGATCCAGGAAACCCTGGGTTTCTAGTGTTTGATAAACTAAGTAAGTAATAATAATAATTAGAAGCGCTACTTAACCTAATAGTTTTATATTGTTAGGTTATAATATATTAAAATATTTTCAGATAATTCCGTTTTTGTCGTTCCGGACAATGAAAAGTACGTCAATTCTTGCCGCATGTACGCCTTATACAGGAGACTGTTGATCAGCAAATCAAACCACAAGTGTGCCCTGCTGTTCAAATCGACAATATTCCGTGTCGGCTCAATGTTGGTGAGCCGGGAGCCATTAGCAAGATCGACAATATTACTGCATATCCACAAATACATGAAGAAATATGGGTGAAAAACTCGGGTAAGCCTTCGGCCCGTGATGTAGAGGCAACTGATACTCTTATTAAGTTGGTGGGAAGTGATCGCTTTAAATCCCTATTGAAAGACAAAACCAGCAAAAAGAAGAATGTTTGGGCACAAATTGCCAAAGAAATGATGGCTCTGGGCTATGATTTTGGTAATCGAGATCCGAGTACAGTTTGTTCTCAAAAGTGGAGGAACATGGAGGGAAAAAACCATAACATTCATTCAGAATGGAGGGCCCAAGAGCACTGGATCAGGGAAGCTGAAGAAGCCTGCATTTTATGATGAAGTGAGAGACGTCATTAAGGATTCTGCTAAGGCGACCCCACTTAATCTTATGGACACAATGTCAGACCTGCCTGATCAGACCTCATCAGCAGCAGCAAGTAGTTCTTCAAAAAGCAATGCCAGTGAAGAACTCAGTTCCAGTAGTGCCAAGGATTCTGAGGAGCTTTTGTCTGACGAAGCAGAATTAGCCATCAACAAGGAGAATGTCAGCCCTTTTCTGAAAGTGCAAAGAAGTACCAAGGCCAAGAAACAAAAAGTTGACAACAGTGACATATTGAATTTTTTAAAACAGGATGCAGAAGAGCGGAAAATGCAGAATGAAAATCTTATGCAACTTTTTGTTAAACAAATGGAACAAGAAAAAGAATAAAAAAACAAATGGAAGTTCTCTCTAAACTATTTGATAAGTAATGGAAATGACGTCCAGATCCATTGTTTTCGAGTGTTCAGTATATTCCATATTTATATTTCATGCAGGATTCACACTGCGTCCAATTTCCAACGCCCGATATCTAATAAGAAAAATTTTTTATATAAAATATATTCTCCTATTGGATATCGGACATCATACATCGGAAATCGGACGTAGTGAGAATTCTGCATATGACGTCTTTCAGACGAATTTAAGGCGTCTTAAATCGTACTGCCAAAGAAATATATGCCAAAGAAATATATGTTATTTTAGTTAGTGCCATTGCTTATAAAGCAGCAGCCGTGGCTGTAGATTTTTATTTTAGTTTTAAAACTTCGCCAATTATCAGGCATCACATATTAGACATGTTATGTATATGACTACTGTTGATTTTTTTTTAATTATATGTCAGAGAATGTGGCATGTCTCAAGACTGTTAATAATAAATTATCCTTAGTTTGTAATGTCACAAAACGAATTTTTTGTTTGTACTATTAGTTAGGTACAGTATTATTATTATTATTGCTTCCTCATAGAGGAAGCTTTGTTTTCGTGAAAAAAATTTTTTTCCAGTGTTCTTTGGCAATATGTTTAAAATGTTTTAAAACGTCTAAAAATCATATTTTTACAAAATGTCCGTATGTGTGTGTGCGTGCGTGCGTGCGTGCGTGCGTGCGTGCGTGCGTATGTACGCATTTGAATGTCCGTGGTTGCTCTAACTTCCGTAAATTTTGAGATATCGGGCTTATTTTTTTTTAAATGTCGAGAATCACTAAAGGAAGGTTGGTATTGATTTTTGCGATGATCGGTAAACGGGTTTTTTTTTAAATTTTGAATTTTTTGAGAAATGTCTGTGGTTGCTCTAATTTTCTTAAATTTTGAGATATCGGGCTAATTTTTTTTAAAACTTCGAGAATCACTAAAGGAAGGTTGGTATTGATTTTTGCGATGATCGGTAAA